TAAAACTTTGCTGCATGAACCAAAAATTCTGTATTTGAAATTCAGGATTCACAAAATATTTCGAATGCATTTCCAAACATGTAAATCTAAAATTATTTTAATTACCATTTTGTTTTTGAAAGTTATGCCATGAAAACAAAAAAATAACAATACAGTATCGACGATTTTCCTCTACAAATTTCAAAAACCAACCCAAATAATTTTATTCTCAAGAAATGTAGTAAAAGTTAACATTTTTGTAAAGGCAATAACGTAAGAAATTAAATCGATCACCATAAACAAGCAAACTGCAAAAAATTTTCTTTTGCTCTATAAGAATAACATGGCTACTTTTATAGGGAAATTCGCTGATGTTAAAAGATCACTTGAAGACAGTTTTGCTATTGATAGTATGTTTTGTTTCAGTTATAGAAACAATGATTCGGGGTTTGTGGACGGATCTTTTTGGACTGACTGGTCGAAAGGGCAACTCCATGGGGGTTGAAATGCCTGATAAAATAAACTTTATTGACAACTCAACATCAAGTAAGTGTCATTTTACTTTATTTTTAGCATACAAGTGTGTGTATAATACCTACAACACATAATTAACCGGTTTAATTAATAACCACAATCCATAATCCATGTAGCTACCACTGACAAGTATATAATTTTTCTGTCTATGTTTTGCACCTATGTATATTGTATATCGTGTACTGTGTTGTAATGTACACTAACCACAAAAGGACTAAAAAACAAATTTAGGATTAATGATAGCCTAAATATCCAATACAACATGTTTCGGCATTTCATTTTATGTCCAATATTTTTTTAAATCTCAACTACCATACCTTATATTTTAGTACCTCTCCAAAAACTGAAATAAACTTGTATTCTAGTTGGAAGAGAGTATTATTGTGTCTAAAAGATTAAAGTAATTAAATTACTGTTTAGTGACTGGCCAAGAGCATTAAGATGCATAATTGTGTATTTTTAATCTTATTCCCAAGTTAGTCAAAGCAATGAAAACACAAAAGCAGTACAGCCTTCTCTAGTAACTGCCTACTAAATTTTCACTTTCTCCCCGTATACAGTTGTATAAAGATAAAGTATTGTTTTAGTCAAAAATTCGAGTTTAAGTGTTGGCTCCCCATGAACCAAAAAAGTGCTTTTTGAACTGAAGAGTCGCTTTATGTGTTTTTTTCTAAAATTTGGTTTATGGTTACTAATTTATAGTATCAGTATTTTTTTATATATTTTTACTACGGTTTTTAATTAGGAATTTCCTATATAGTCTAATATTGGAAATCGGATACTCACTAAAACAGGTCACACGATTTTGATACAAAATTTTGTCTTTAATGGTTCTTTTCTACTGTACATACAAAACGGTACAACCCCCAATGGTTACGGGTAAATTGCGGGTAAATAGTTATTGCAAATCTTCTAAATTCATCCATAAAACACAAAGTTACTTCCACCACACCCTTTAAATGAGGGTTTACTAGCTAAAGGGAGAAAGTATGCTAGTTTGTTGGTACGTTTATTATTCAATAGTTGGTCTTATGTGATCGTTGATAAAAACACACTACACTTTCATCCAGGCAAAATCCACTAATTTGATGTAATTATTGCTAGATGTTGAGAAGATCGTTCAACCAATAGAAGAGCCAGGTGACCAATGCAACAACTGTGATTGGAATCGCCTTAAAGATGTAACTAAATATTACTTACAAAAGGAGATGAAGAGGAAAGACTAAACAAAGGGGAGAAATTATAATCTTACATGTCAGTTAATTTAGTTAAACTAATCCCGAAACTCTAGACAGCGACAGCTATCTAGTTTTTCTACTTCGATAAATGTGTAGCATACTATTCGTTGAATGATAAAAATTAAAAGCTAATTAAAACTATCCATAATCTTTAATCACTAAATTTAGTAAAACTAATCAATTCAGTTTTCAAGGAGTCAAATATGTTATGTTATGTAAATTATTTCTTTACTGAGTGATTGCTTTACCATCTTTAACAACATTAAGAGTAGTTAAAATGTTTTTCACGTTTGATCTCGATGTATATAAAATTGTGTGTTTAGGCCAACATTAAAATGTTATGCATTTTAAACTATGTATATAAAAACTACTTATTTTAGTGCTACAGTTAAAAAAAGTGATATTAGACTTTTATAGTTATATAGTTTTTTTAACCCTTGAAATCTGTTACCTTAATTTTTCAAAGTTATTTCTTTATTAATTGTATAGTGTTGTGATTCTTTTGACTTTAAATATTCAAAAGAATCAATGCGTTACATTATGGTGTTGTTATGTTTACTATATTAGTTTAGTAGGTATACAATGATGTATATGTGTTCAGGTAAAATAAGTCAGATATTTAAACTCATCCATACTTATTTTAGTTAGTTGTTATAAGGTTTTGTTACTGTGATCTGTTGATATACTGTAGTATTATTGTAGACGTGCCTTTACTGTTAGTTCTGATTGTAAAATGCAAATTCTGATCAATGATAGACATTATAGCATTTGTTACATCAAGACAAAACAGGATGTGCAGACTGCAGATGTGTTGGTTTGTATGGCCTACGTGACTGGAGATAAAGATGCAATGGAGGTAATGTGCTTGTGTGCGTATATGTGCGTGTGTGTGCGTACGTCAGTCATGCACTGCGCAGGTTGCCTCCAAAACACTATCTGTCTTCTGCAGTCAAATTTACTATTTTCATTAATTATTTTCAATAAAATAGGAAGACTGATAATTTTGTTTCGTAACAAAGTAATTCAAAAGTCAAATTCCGTAACCATGTTTAAGCATACAGTATTTGAATTGCAGTATTTTGTATACCCTAAAAATAATGTTAGTGTGTTACATAAGGTTTTAACAATAAAGTTTTATATTGGAGTTGTTTGAATTCTGATTTGAATTTGTTGATTATTCCAGATGTCCAGTGGTTTCTAAATTACCTGTATTTTTAAGTTTATATTTTAAATTATATAATTCACAATAAATTATAATTAAATTGTCTAGACTGCCGCAGGGTTCTCAGTTTTTATTTATTTATTTTGCTAATCTGCTGGTTTGATTCCAAAATGGATCAATTCTGTACCCTGTTGCCATTGATCATTGGGTTATCAAGTAACACTGCCATTTGCAAAAGGTCTATATTAGAAAGTATCAAGTTTTGGGTTTAGGCAGTTTCTATAAAAAAAAAAACCTTATACCGTAATGCGTAACTCGTAGATAAACACAGAGAAATCATGAATAAAATCATGATTCCCAGGCGTTTGCATTGTAAGGTCAAGTATTTAAAGGCTCGATTTATCTTAAATAAAAAATCACTACTTCAATCTTTTAAAGTTTAGTTGATGATTAAATCTTTTTGTAAATGTTGCACTGGATATCAATATTCTACAGTAACAGAATTGTGTGATGCTAGAATAGAAATTGCATGCTTCAACAACAAAGTGGAAAGGGATATTGAGCACGTTGGGTAAAAGAACGAAGTCTGCAATAGCATTTATGTTATCATACACCTTTGACTATTAATACAACCTTATACCACAGACAATTATATTGTATATGCTTATACTGTACAGGACGTTTCTTAAAAGCAAGTTATACGAGTAGGGTCACTGGGACAAAACAAACTCACAAGTTGGTAGCCTGCTAACTGCCTTTGCCTTTTTGCCGCTCAATAATTTTATTTACATCTATACGTAAATTAAATTATCGTTACAGTTGGTGATATTTTAGTGAATTCAAATAAAATATTGTAATGTAATTTGTATAGGACATAAAGAAGGAAATTACTCACGTAAGATTTTGGGATTTTATGGGATTAGCAATAGGAAATTGTAAACTTATTCAAATAAATCGCGGATTTTAAGCCTGGTGGTATAGCGTTTATGAAACTTTTAAAATCAACTAAGAAAAATCATTGGAATGTCTTTTTAAAATCTGGTTCCTATATTTTACGTTTACGCCCAGTGTTTAATGCGCTGTTATCGGAAATACCTTCTATATCAGTTTACATTGCGCTGAGTTATTCATACTGATTATTTATTACTCGCATATCGAAGTAGGCGAAGGCGAATGAGCAACAGACGACTGGCCGCTATTAGCTGCGCGCGCACTACGGCGGCACGGCACGGACGGGCGGGCGGCACGGCAATATTTAAAAGTTAATAACATTGAATGTAATATGAGTGCGCCCACTACGGCGGTACGGCCGGCAACGGACGTTCGGCAGCTTCCGCCGTTTGTTAAAAAGTCCGGGAGACAGAACTCTAGGACATTTCCGAGCTGCCGTGACGCCCGTACCGCCCGTACCGACCGGGAGCACTGCACACCGACCGGGCGGGCGGCACGGGACATCCGCCATTCTCAACCGATCTCTGTCAAAGTAGCAGTGTTTTCGTGTGTTGTAAACATAGATGTTAGTAAGTTGATTTTTCTCGTTGAGAAAACCAACAAACTGTACAACATGCGACATCCGGAATATTTTAATAATGTCCGGCGTGACAATATATGGACAGAAATATGATCTATTATGAAACAATCAGGTAAGTTTTACACATAATCCTTCTACAAGATCAGGAAACAAGGTGTGGAACTCTCCAAAACTTAGTCTTTTCCTGTTTATGTGGTGTATCTAAAATCTTTGCTTGCACCTTCTTGTCACCTCTTCCTCTGCTAAAATTAAACCTACTATCACCACTTTATCTACATCCATCTTTACTCACAATTTTTAGCTCGCAGACTGTCAACTGTCTTAAATTGCGGAAGTGCGGATGTCCCGTCCCGTCCGTCCGTGCCGTGCCGCCCTAGTGCGCGCACCCCCTCTTAAAAATGCCGTCCGTGCCGTACCGCCCGTCCGTGCCGTGCCGCCGTAGTGCGCGCGTAGCTATTGGCTGACGTCAAAGATAAGACGTGAGGTGACCTACAGTGGAGGGGATTCAATCTACCTTTCTTCCATTGTGCTCAGTTTCGCAGGTCTTACCTTCAGTTCAAGTGTGCAAGTGTGTATCTTCTGCTGGTGTCAAGTGTTTGAGTGTGATGGCTTCCACGAACACCAGCGCAGCGAATGTCTCAGACGCCGGTTATTTCGGCTGTCAGGTAAGGTTAAGTTGTTGAGTGTATGTGCCAAGCTGTTAACAATTTTTGCATTTCGTATAGCAAACATTATCATAACACCGTTAAGGTTAAATTATTTTAATACAACAACTGTTCTTCATACCCAAAGTGGTTTTCCAAATAAGGGGACGTTATTTCAACTATTGATATTGTTTTCATTTTTGTACATTTATGTCATCGATATGCTAGAAACGTTTCTTTCTTTTTGAATTTACTGGTTCAAATCACACCGGCTGCACTGTACGAGTACGTCCTACACTAATTCGCATGATAATACCGATCGATATATCGATTGTTCAATATGTTAATTGGTTAGTTAGGTAAGGCTGACCTATATTTATAACCTAGCCAACCAAACGATATATCGAATGAAACAATCGACAAATCGATATTTTCATTCGGTTGTTTCATTCGAATGAGTGTAGGGCGTACCCCTTTTATCTATGGTAAAATAAAGTGCAGCCATCGTACCAATCAAAAATTACTTTTTTATTTCGTAATTCGATAAATTTGTGGTTTCTGAGTCTACCGTAAGCTGTAAATGCACATATCTAGAAAATAAAGAGAAATACATGTCAATTCAAATAAATAATTACTATTGGAGAAATATAATACATACAATACAACAATCTTTATTACTATATTACAGAGTTGTGGTATTATTATGTGTGGTAGTGTTATCTTGCATCTGTTTATACCATAACACCTTTGAGACTAATTTGCATAATAGTGCTGTAATACATTTTTGCTAGCAAATCTTAAAACACCTTTCCTTCATTGCAAATTACTGTATATCTTAAACATTTTACTAAAACGATGAAGAAATAAGTAAATAAAATATATTACTTGACACAGTATTAAAATTTTGACTAAAGTACATTTGAGAAGAATGTTGGATGGTTACTGAACATTTACTACAGTACTTCTTCGAACTACTTTGGAATTTTTTTCTCGTGTGTGCATTCTGAAAGGATGCGAAGGCCGCGAAGGCAAGGATAAACTATTATATCATTCAGGGTGGGTTTTAAATCTCCCCTCTACTTTTTTCTACATTTCTTAAAATATTAATCCTGAACCACACCTAACCTTGATGGATAGTCAGTTAAGTTACCTATTTTTTGCAGCCATTTTCGGCCGCCATCTTGGATCCGCCATATTGCCCATATTGGATACATATTTTTTTTTATTGTATGCCTAACGATTATCATGCGACCCATTATTTAACCCTGTTTTTTTCAATTCTGAATATAATCCGTTTTTTAATATCTATTTTAGTTTTGACGTTATTATAACTTTTGTGACAAGAACTTTTGGCATGATATTTTTACGTTTGATGATATTTTCAAAATACCACTTCAAATATCAACAGCGTACTACCAAATAACATTGTTAAAACGATAGTACTTAATTTTTAGAGAGTTAAAAAATGTTGGCCGCCATCTTGGATCCGCCATTTTGGATACAAAAAACAATTTTACACAAAGGTAGGGGTGTGACCCATATTTTAGACTGTATTTTTTATCTTAAAATCAATTATGAAACCAGTTATTAATTTATTTTTATTTTTTAAATCCCTAATTGTTTATTTACTTGAAGACGTTTTTTATGGTGTTTAATTTACATTGAGGACCTTTGATAGTTATTTTTTAACCTAGTTATAGAAAGGTAATAAAAGCTTTGTCAAATTTGTGTCATAGTTTTCTTTGTAGGACTAATTTGTATAAAACGCTACAGGTTTGACTAAAATTGAATTAGGGTAAACCTTATACAGTACTGACGTGGTCTTAACGTCTTAACTGATCGTAGGTACTGTACTGACATACAACATAGCCTACTGTTGACTTGGAATGTAGGATTCGTATCATTATTAGGCTATTATTTTTGAGTGTTTGATTATGATCCGCTGACTTGAAATGTAGGAGTAGTACAAACCTTATAGTACAGTTATTCATTTATTACATAAATTTAAGGCCAGTCGTAATTATTTCCAGGAGGACCAATCATGTTTGGAACAAGTTGTGATTATTCTGGCTGTAGTATCGGCATTCTACATGCTGATGATCATGTTTCTTCATCAAAGTAAGTATAATATGTTTCTATAACAGATTATATATTCCATCGGTTATTTCAGCGTTAAATTGCCAATCCCTCTCTTTCTTGTTTACAACTACCAGTAGTTTTCAGTAGTCAGCTAAATTTCAAGTGGATGCCGAAACAAAATTTAGTATATAACAAATACAAACTCAGCAGAAAAATCTTCCGAATGAAAATTAATCAACGTTGATATTATTTCCTTTTTGAATAAAGAATTATTTCAGCTTAACCGCCCGAGACTATCATTATCTAGTTTATATTCATATAGGCTGCTGCTGATTGTAGTCTAACTTCGAACGAATCTGAAGGGATCGAACGAATATTCGTTTTGTCAAGGATGCTGGATGAGAGGTTTGCAGGTTGCAATTTTCTTTAGGTCGAGGTTCGCATCGGCCAATATAAGGGTTGACCTCGTAAAAACACAATTAAGTAGCTTTATCGCAACAGAGGAATGTTGATAAATCAACTAGCATTGCTGTTTCCATAACCAATCTGAAAGCAATAAAAACATTAAATAAGTCATCAAAAAGTGCACAACCTTAAGAAAAACACCAGTAAAAATATAAAGATCAATATTGTTATCCTTTCTTTTCGTTCTATTTTTTTTTTGTTTCTTTTTATCCAAAAGTTCAACAAGTTACCATGGTTACTTGTCTAAGTATTATGACGTCATCATCAGTACCCAGCTATTATTGACATCCTGTCTGGACAAAGCGCATGTAGGTGTGTGCTGACGGAGCAGACGATTGTCAACGCTTATTTGTGTTGCCTTGGCGCAAGCGTTGTTAACGCTTTCAACATTTCATTCCCATCAAAGGAACTGTGATGATTCAAAAATAGTAATGTAGAAGGATTGTTATATCAAAAAATCATGCAGGTGATTCGATATGTGGAGGATAAATTCGCTATATTCAATTAATGTATTATGTATAGGCTTTGATAATGATCAAATCGTTGTATTGAGGTGACATATTAGCCGGGATCGTCAAACATTCGTTAAATCAAGTTTGATGATATAGTTTGTTCGTTATGTAAAGGTGAAGTGAAATGTACATTTTTTCTTATGGAGGGATCTAGGGGATCTAGGAGTACTTTATCTAGGAGTTCTTTATATGAAGGTTGGACGTTAGACTGTTTACAAGAATACATATAAAATTCCTTAAACCATACACGTTTGGTTTAGTATGAGCTCAGCTCTGCTAGAGTATAGAGTCACGGTACTTCTGTCTTTGTGACGAAGGTTCGAATCCCGTCAGTAGGTAATAGCTTTCAATGTCATTGTCATAGTTCCGTGACTCGGTTATCTGAAGTCTACGTTAAATTTTTGGCTCGCCTAGAAAATGATTCCAGACATTGAAAAACATTGTTATTTTTTCAGAACTCCGTCCTTTTTAAGCCTTACGATATCCAAACCAATTCAGCTTCCCTTAGCAATACGATGTGTTTCCACTTCCAGTGATGTACTTGGGCATGCTTCCTCCAAGGCTGGCCCGGGTTCTCTGCCCTTGTCGACCTATCGCTCCTAGAGGAAGTACCATGATAGCATCCACCGAGAGTGACCTCACCTCGGTCAACTCACTGGCCACCATGGATAACGAGGTCAACCTGCAAAGAGAAGAGAGTCTGAGAAGAGTGAGAATGTTGAAAAGACCTCTGCCTCCGACACCGGACGAATACGAGGAAATCGGAGGTGTTGATGTAACGAAGAAGAGGAAGATTTCAAGTCAGTCTACTGCAACGTACTGCGACATAGGTAATGGAATATATAATGTGTAGTGTATTTGTAACATTCAACTCATGAGTTAAAGTTTATGAATGTGTCAGTTCAATGCGAGTGGTAGTGTGGGCATACAGTAAAATATTAAAAAATATTGTAAAATATTTTGTTTTTGTCAGCATGATTATCCAAGTTGCTGAAACTCCCAATGTATGTTACTTGCGTTATCTGTATCAAAATAAAATCTTAAATTAAACAAAAAGAATGCATATCCTTTGCAAAGGTTTAGGTGAATAAGTAATGGAGATATTTCATTATAATTTTGGTGATCAAAGCTAAATGTTGTGTTATGAGTACTATAGAACCATTTGAAACTCTTTGAACGGGTTCATAATACAACTATTGTTACAATTTTATGGTATATTGATTTAACTTCATGAAAACCTGGATCTAGAATCACAGTTTAAAATTTTAATTTATACACCAAGAACATAGCATAATCTGTTGCTAATTATCTGATAGATTACTATCTTTGGTGTCTCTTTCGATCAAAAATCAAAATTACGTCACTACCCTGACGTTTTGTTATAAAAGTTGTTGATAAAAATTCGTGGTAATCACCGTTTGCTCGTTTGTTACTAGACTAAATGTAGCTCCGGTGTTGAACACAATCAAGTTCTTTGTGATTCTTTATCTTCTATTATCAGCTGTATTTTGAAATACTGATTAGATTGGTTTCCTTGTAAAATACAAACTTAGTAACGTGTTTTATAATTTTGTTATCTTTATTTCATTGTTATCAGTTTATTAATTCCATGGTGTTCTTGGTTTTATCATTGACTTTTGGATATTCTATATGCTTATCATGTGTAGCCTACATAATATCATAGACTAACCAACACAAGTAGACTTCCCACCCCATTATACATTTTGAAGCTCGTTGGTCGTGTATAGTTCATTTCCGGTGACACTGGTTGCTAGTGCTGACGAAATTTTGTTCTATTATTTTAGAGTTTAAATTCATAATTTGTACTTTACTATTTTGTTATATAACTAGTTGATGAGTTATTGTTTATGATTAAAAGGATCTAATTTGTTAAACGGGGTTTTAAATGACTGAAATAACAAGAAACAAATTGTAAACAAAACACGACCTCTACAGTTCAACGGACAGAACTACCGATAAAATTGGCTTAAACTGTTTCATGATGATGGGAAATCTAATAAAGGAGTATGTTTTAATCTCACAAAATAATGATTCCAAATATTTATTTAAATGCATATTTTATCGATCTAAACCGTTTTAAAAATAAAACAGCTTCACATTACTTGTTATTAAAATAACATGTTTCTACGCCTAATATCTTTGAAAATGTTAGGCTCAAAAGCTACAAAAGACAAACATGTCTAAAACTTTATCAGGAATCTGGATCATCTATAACATAGGTGTAGAGGATTTTTTTTATTTTACCGCCATTTTGGATAGTTATGTTTATATATGAATTGGAATTTGTGAAAAAACGAATTAGGCTCCCAATTAAAGGGAGTCTCTAAATTTAACAGATTCTATGAGGGTAGAAGAGTTGAGTTGCTTATGTGTTTTATTAAGTAACCTAAAAAATCATACAAGAAAAGTAATAAAAACATAGGCCAGATAAAAAGCAGATACTGCAGAATGAACTCCGCTGGGCTATTGGTCCCAGCACGAAAAACTCTTGGGATCCAAATCGCACTGAGCCAAAGGCTTTAGCAACTTGCTGCGGCCCTTGAGTTAGTATTCCGCCATACGCTGCAGGTCTGCACAAAAATGACTCGTTCCTATAAAATAGTATTGGTACTTTAATAAGTATATTGTTTTGTAATAAGCTACAAACGACCTATTTTGTTTGCATAGATGAGTATGGTGGTTTCACAACGGCTCCTATTGCTACATCAGGTGGAGTTGAGGCCAAACCAATCGTCGATGCCTTCATTTCTACTTAAATTACATTATTTTGGTTGATCCAAACAATATATCTCACAGTGTTTACAATATATCACTTTCTAAAATTACAAATTACCATTGCCAATGTTAGCTTTTAGTTCTGTGACTAAAAAACTGACATGATAATTTATTCCATACAATTTTTCATGACAATTTATTTGTTCTGTAGTTATTGAAGTAAATAAAATTTGATTAATTTAATTGCTGAATATATTTTTTTATTTCTTACAACCTCAAGGGTACGAATAATGGCAGTTTAGTATAGAAAATGCATGCATTTTGATAGCGTTTAAAACTTTAAATATATTTTTATAACCACATCTTCTAGTCACCAGTTGGGCAAATACTCAATAAGTGGTTGGCTATTTACTGGTATCTGATGTTGTCTAAAATTTGTTCTTTGAAGTTGGTAGGCATTGGAAATCTAGACGATTCGTTGGATATTTTACATTTTACTTTGGTTTGTGAATTATAAAACAGGATGGTATGGAATGCTGATTGGTCTATAGTCAGAAGGGGTATTGGGAGAAGAAATTTTCTGAAGTGGGCGAACAATTACAGCTTTCCAGATGAAGGGGAAGGTAGAAGTTGCTAATGATCTGTTAAATATTATTGTTTGTAGGTACCGGGAGAGTAGTTGGAAGAGTGTCTTTAATAAACCTGATAGGAATATCATCGGACTGACTGCGTTACTTGTCATCCCCAGAATTGCCCTGTGCACCTCAGATTCACTAACTGGGGAAAGGAAAAACAGATTTTCTGGCATATCAAGTGGTCTAGATGTGATATCGGCAACATAGAACCTGCAGAACGTATAGGAATATTCACAAAAAGTTGTTAATCGTGTCAAGACTGATGGTTATTTGATGTAAATAGTCATACTTGCCGATACCAAGGTTCTTAACTTTGGTCTACAAAGTTTTGGAGGATTATTTCTGGGAGAAAGATTTATAATAATACCTAGCTTTTGAGTTTCTGATCTGTTGTTGGGATTGATTCCTGAGCCTTTTGTAACAGGCCTAGTCATCAGGTAGCTTGGTGCGCTTGGCTTTACGAAATGCAGCATCTATATTTTTTTGAAGTTGTTGAATAAAATCATTTATCCAAGGAGCATGTGGCTTCGAAACTCTTTTAGATTCTATTGGACAGTGTTTATTATGAAGATTAGAAATGAGGGAAGTAAAATGTTCAACCATTGAATTGACACCAGGATCATTAGTAACCACATCCCACGGTAGGGTAGAAGCGTCGAAAAGCAGAGCATTGAGGTTAAGATTTCAATAGTAGCCTATCTGTATTTGATAAAATTTGGGCTAAATTTGCGCTTTTTAAATTTACATAGGTACACAGAAAATAAAGTCATGTTTAGAAAGTCCAGGCACAGCATATTGACCGTGGTGGGTGATTAGGGATGGGTCACTAACAGCATTGACTATATACCACTAGTGTTATATAGTCAATGCAGCTATGATATCTAACAGTGTGTCAGCAGTGGCAGTGTGATGTGTGGCAAGTAAAGTTAAGATGGTAATGTTGCAGGAGAAAAACAAATTTGTAAGTGTGGTTTGGTCAGTAAGTGGTCCCAGTAGGTCAGTGTAAGGGCGCTGTTCTACCCCTGACGCGCAACCGAATGCAAGGGTTTGCAAGATTCTGTTTTCACCTGCTACATTGAAAGTAGAATCAAAGTTAAGGTCTTATATTAAAGGGGATGAAATTTTCTATAGTTATTTGTTTCTATATTTCAATTATTTTAAATACACACCTTATAAACTTGGGTTGTAGTACAAGGAAAAAGGGTCTTTTCAACTAGCCTTAACTTATAAAAAAAAAGGTTTTTTGACCATTTGAAAAACGCAAACTATAGGTTGGTCTTTGTACTACTATAAGCCGCTTAGAGTGCGTAGCTATCATTATTTGTTAATTCTAAAACAGTAATATTGGAAACGTCTGCAAGCGCTTCTCGCAGCGCTGTCCAAGAGTGAAACCAACAGTGAAGCATAGCTACTGAAGCCCGAGCTGAGATTTCCGAGCTGAGGTAAAGCGCACCCTTATCACAATGACATGACTATAGCGAGGCAACAGACCCACCAAATCATGTTCAGACTCCGCCAAGAACCTAATGCGAGGTGCTCTGTAACAAACACAAATCAAAAATGTGCTTTAAAACAAAAATATTCAAAAACAAATATTCAGTGTTTCCCACTGTTTCTGAGTTAGGCTTTAAAAGTTCAAAGGAAGGAAAGTGAGACTTGACATAAACAACAATTTTCCACCACCCTTATGGAGACGATCATTTATAAAAATGTAGTAGTCAGATAATTCAACACATTTGTCATTTTGACGATGGTTTGAGCAAAATTTCAGAAATAAAAATTATGTCTATTGAATCTTGAAAACTTGTACGAAATTAGTCTATGTGACAAAAAAGAGATTTTGCCAGCTGAATGGAGACAGAGTTTCGCAGAGAAGTGAGATAACGGCGGAGATAGATTAGGACCGAGCAGGGTCGGGGCAGCGTTATCAGACTGAACTGATAAGCATTGATAAGCAGGCTAAAGGCGGCACACGACAATGGCGAAGTGAAGCAGGTGTCACACTCTTGAAACATGTTAAAAATACAAATAGTAAACAACACAAGGGGTCCACAACGGCTATACAACATATACTAAATACAACACAATTTAGTATTTAGAAAATACTTAATTAGATAGGTATATTTTTGTTAAACTTTGTACAACTAAATTGATTGTATAAATGATTGTATAAATTCACTCCCACCCTTGGCTTAGTTTACAATGTAAAAAGCATCGAAAGAGTATACTGAACTTTTTTTATACTCCTCTCCATTTTTAGTTACAGTAGTAGTTGCCTGTTGGAAATGCCATGCATGGCTAGATACCTACAATGTTTATTAAATATGGCTATTTTTAGTTGTTTTTATCTCCTATTGCCAAATTAAAGTTTTGTCGATCTTATAAAACTCTTAGGGCTGTCGTGATTAATTATTGTATAATTTTCCATGTATTCTGTTAATTTTTAATCAGTCTTTTGTCTACATCAAGCTTCTCAAGTACTATAAGATACTTGTCTACAAACAGTTTGTAATGTACATTAATAAATGTACGTTTTGTATTTGTAACGATTGCCGCAATCGAAATGTACAACTGTTTACAACAGCTGATTTTTACTCCCTAGAGAATAAAAATGATACTTTAGACCAGCAACGCACTCATTAAAAACGACTGTTTTTGCTGCAGTATGACGAAAATGTGTTTGATTTATTTCATCAAAAAATAGATGATGAAAGTGTTAAAATTGTCCTCGGCTAATCAGTAAGGATGACAAAAGTACATGTGTAATAAAAATGAGTTAATGCATAGGTACAGTAGGCTATAATTCGGAAAGTGTCAGTACCCGCGGACAGCAGACCCGCAGCGGCTCTGGTCGGGATTTTCTATTTGTTTTGGTGGCAGCGGGGGCTTGGCGCTCGCGCATGTTTGCCAACACACCAATGTGACTACGACTGTCGACTACATCGAAGGAATTCTCCGCGCTTAGTATAGTGCGCAGGCCGCTGTGTTCGTCGGCGTCGCATCATACAAAAGGTACGTTGATTATATTTTAAGCGTTATATTTATGAGTAGTAAAAACTTTAATAATATTCTCGTTGAACGACTCAGTTGTAAACCAGTAGGGTCCTTTTACCTAATATTGTTACCATGTTTACTAGTGTTATCCAGTTATCGTCCTGAAGGCGTGTTGATGATTATTTAGCAAACCATTTATTTCAGGTGATTAAAACAGTGATGTTTATTTTCTCAATTTATTTATAGTGTCCATTTACATCAGTGGCAGTTATAATGTGTGAAGTGTGCAAACCCTGGCTTGTTACTGTCTAACGTCGACCTATCTGGGTCTGGTGCCGGTTAGTAACGACTAGAATCGAACGAGCGACCTAGAGATTTGAAGGCGAGCACTTCTGCTCGGCTACCCAGACAATTTCATTAACAGATTTTAGTTGTGTTAATTTTCTCAGAATAGTATTGGTAACACGTTTAGTGCAATTGTTGGACTACTGTCGGGATGGTAAGAGCAGTATAGTTGTGTTTGGAGTTCACTAGATATATAAAGTCAATGCTAAGTTAATACTCTGTGATGTTTCAGATATCCAGTGGTTTAGAGCGCAGCTTCAAGCTCTCTCAAGATCTCTCCAAACCGACGACAGACGTCATAGAATATCTTTTCGTCTCTAAAAAGGTAATGATCATCAATTTTATTCCTCATTTCTGTATAGTTCAATCATTGAAAGTTTCAAAATTTAATACTGTGTTTACTTACGTTTTTGATAATTATTGTTGTGGAGTAAGGTCTATGTGTTTTGATATCTTGGGTAAAAATCCCTTTGTTGTAGCAAATTGTAAAACTCATGTTTTATATTTTTCATACATTTTTTTAATAATTAGGCCTTGACAAAATATAATTAAAAACATTTGTGTTTCTAATATTCAATCCACACGGGACTGGATGGGGTCAGGCCATAGCATCGATATATATATCGATGGGCCATAGTTCTATATGCCCAGCGATGGGACAGGCTGTGCAGTGTTGTGTGGACGTGTGGTGATGAGGGGAGGGGAGTCATAGCCAACAGCAACAGCCAACTGGCATCAGTGGCAACCCCCATCTCCGCCGCCATCACGGCTGTCGGCTATCACTTATCACTCTGGCTGGGCTGGCGGCTGCGATTCTGTTGTGTTTGTGTTGCAGTTGCATTGGATATTAGCGCTCTACACGTGACATTTGGTGGCTCCACTACCAGCAGAGTACGAACTCCAATCTGCAGCCATTGTAATCGCTACGCGAATTAGGTCCCCACCTTTTTGAACAAACTGTAAAATTATAAAAACTCATCTTGTTGTTTCAGAAAACATAATATGCCTAACTGTTATTGAAAATTATGTTTTTAAACTGATGATAAATCAGCCTTGTTTTAACGTTTTTTATGGATAAAGTGAAGGTCTATCTCATTTCATTTTCTTGTTTTTAGGTAATGGAGCAAATGACAAAAATGTCTTTGATCATAGCAGTAGAGCAATTAAGGGATATTCTCATTGAAGCAATGT